TCAGGTAGGAATATGCCTACTTTGTCTAGAGTTGGTTCCTTGTGATTTATTAATAGCATCACTAATTCTGGCATCACGGGAAAGTGTCATCGAATCAATTTAAATGGGAGGCCAGTGTCAGATGGGGACAAATTAATTCTTGGAATCAGAACAGTCTCTCTCTGTGCAGATCCTGTTAATACTTCAGCTTTGTTAATGTTATATCATAATCTTTTTATAATAAATCTGGTACCATTACAAAGTTTACTATTGAGATTTCTCAATAGCATGATGATTACACCCACTTGCAATTTTAATTTATGACACGGCATTCCCGTGGGAGTAATACTATTAAAAAATTCGATGGGAAAATTTTCCTTTTCAGAAAAGCATCATCTGTGGAATCAATGGAATCATCACTCAAATATGTGTGAAAATCTCCATCAAGTATATACAAATTTTCTTCATTTAAGTTTTGAACATGCTCATTTTTTGGACAAAGAATTTCACATTTAGATATATTTTTAATATTATCTTAGCAGTGGTTCTCAACCTTGGCTGCACATTGGAATCACCTGAGAAATAAAATAAAGGCATGGCTGTGGGTGTGGTCGCTGTCTCTCAGAGAAGCAGAGTCCCGCCAAGACCCGGCTTTCATTCTCTTGTCTGTCTTTTCTATGCCTTTCAGCCCACCCCCCACACTCAGGTTCACCCTTGTCTGTGCTGGTGCGGCATACTTTAGAAAGATATGCCTCCATGCTCCCAGGGCGGGTTTCTGCCTCAAACCCCACCCTTACAGGCAACAGCTCCAGGAAATACCTTGGGGGAGGGCACAGCTGTTGCCAAGACAACCTCTGCAGAACTGACTTCCTTCCACTTGGTCGTGATGAACACCACTCAGGGTTTTTATATAAGTAGATAGGATTGTTTCAAGTATTTCCCTAGAAAAATTATAAACCTTTTGAGGAGAGCAACCATGTGCTATACTACTCTTTGTCTTCCTCAATATCTACTACAGCTGACATCCTGATGAACTAATTTGGTATAAGATTTAGCATATAACTTGCAGTGTTAATTAGGATGATATATGAATGGCTATCTAATTAAATAGTTTGCTTTTGAAGCTTGATAATACATTTTGCCTATTTATCACTGCATAACACTCAATATGACACATCAGTATATTAAGTACCCATTAAAAAACTGGCATTTAGGGAAGGCAGTTGTGTGGGAACAGAATATACGTGCATTATTTGGCATTTTCCATGACCTAAGGAGGCATACAGTCCAATTGGGAAACAATTGGAGTAGCTAAATAAATTGCCCAAAAGTACCTTAGGAATTCAGGATAAAATTAATATAAGTTGACATAGGAAAAGTGGAACTTAAACTAAGCCCTGAAATATGGATAACATGTAAATAGCTGTGTGCCAAGGATAATATTGTGATCATATTAGTAAGGAGAACCTGTTGACTAGAGTAGTATTGAAGAATGTGTGTGAGAGTGGAGGAAATGAGGCTATAAACCTTAAGCATTTGCATGCAATTCTCTCTGTAGCAGGAAACTTTTGCAGATTCTTAAATAGGATGGTAATTATAGGAAACATGAATGTTAAGAAGATGAGCCTGGACAGAATTATATAAGTGGATTGTAAATGGAGGAATCTAGAAGTAGGAAAATCAACAAGGTCTCCTTACAAGACAATTGTAAGATTACAGAACACTAGAGGCCCTGTGCATGAAATTCATGCATGGGTAGGGTCCCTAGACCTGGCCAGCGATCAGGGCCAATAAGGTTCTCCACCTCCCTGCCTCCCTGCCTCCTTCTTCCCTCGCTGCCAGCACTGCCACTGTGTGGTTTCCCCCACTGCCTTCCTGCCTCCCCACCTCTCCGCCTTGCCTCCCACTGCCACCACATGGTTCCCCTTGCCTCCCTGCCTCCTCCTTCCTTCACTCTCTCAGTGCCCTACCACCTACCCTGGTCACCCACCATGTTCTGTGCCACCCCCTGGTGGTCAGTGCACATCATGGCCAGTGACTGAACTCCCAAGGGGACAGAGAAAGGGAGTTAAAGAGAGAGAGAGAACAAGATCTGTTTGCTGTTCTACTTATTTATTCATTCATTGGGTGGTTATACCATTGATATAACCAGCAATCTTGGCGTACTGGGACCATGCTCTAATCCACTTAGCTACCTTTCCAGGGCTTGTTAAAGACATTTCAAATTTTGGGGGTTGGGGGACTGGAGCTTGAGAGAAATGATCCCCTTATACCACAATTGCTTTCTTTTTTTCTCTTTTTTGATTCCCATTGCTACCTCTTCTGTTTCCAGTTGATAACCTTTACTATCAATATGGGAGGCAAAACTGGGGCTTGAGAGAGATTGAGGCTGGATAAGATTTGAGAGTCATAAGGGTATAGGAGAGAGTGAATGGATAAGCTAATAACTAAGGTTGTATTTCATAAAAGAACAGAGGACTAAGGCTAAAGCCATTATTGAATCTGTTTAAGATTTTAGTATTAGGTATATAAAACATTTTAATGAACCATGATCTTTATTTGTGGACATAGTATTTTTATAGCATAATTAATTTTCTAGTTGTGTGCATTGCAATTAAATCTCTTAGGGAAAATGTTTCCTTATGATATGTGCAACTGTGTCAGTGTTTTTCTTTTTTTAAATTATTCGTGTGTGTGTGTGTGTGTGTATTCTCTCTCTCTTTTTTTGTTTGTTTCTGTTTTTAGAAAAGTGAGGGGAAAGAGATTGGTTAAAACATTTTTTGTTAATCCTCACCAGAAGATTGTTTTCCCATTGCGTTTTAGAGATAGTAGAAGGGAGGGAGGGAGAGAGAGAGATTTGAGAGAGAGACATCAATTGGTTATATTCCAAATGCTCCCCAACTGGGGCCTGGGATGGAATCTACAACCTAGGTATGTGCCCTTAACCAGGAATCAAATCCCGGACCCTTTGGTGCATGGGCCGATGCTCTAACCACTAAAAAGACCAGCCAGGGCAAGAGGTTAAATCTCTTTCTTGATCATTTATGAATTTGAAATGGTTTTATGCTTATTTTTACTTTCCTTTGTCAGTTCAATTGCTTTCTTTAAAGGCATATATTTGTTTCTACAATCCTA